GTGGTCAAAATCTGATCAGCTCATTTTCAGACAGGTTTTTATAGAAATGGATCAAAAAGAGAGAGAATCTTTGTTCCTGAAACTTTCAGAGTCTCTTTCCACAGAGGGGACACATGTTGATGTAGAAGAGACATGAAGAAGAGGGGACACATGTTGATGTAGAAGAGACATGAAGAAGAGGGGACACATGTTGATGTAGAAGAGACATGAAGAAGAGGGGACACATGTTGATGTAGAAGAGACATGAAGAGAGGGGACACATGTTGATGTAGAAGAGACATGAAGAGAAGAGACACATGTTGATGTGTAGAAGAGACATGATAGAAGAGGGGAGAAGCCTGGGGACACATGTTGATGTAAGAAGAGACATAAAGAAGAGGGGACACATGTTGATGTAGAAAGAGACATGAAGAAGAAGAGACACATGTTGATGTAGAAGAGACATGAAGAAGAGGGGACACATGTTGATGTAGAAGAGACATGAAGAAGAGGGGACCCATGTTGATGTAGAGGAGAACATGAAGAGAGGGGACACATGTTGATGTAGAAGAGGACATGAAGAAGAGGGGACACATGTTGATGTAGAAGAGACATGAAGAAGAGGGGACACATGTTGATGTAGAAGAGACATGAAGAAGAAGAGACACATGTTGATGTAGAAGAGACATGAAGAAGAGGGGACACATGTTGATGTAGAAGAGACATGAGCATGAAGGAGAGGGGACACATGTTGATGTAGAAGAGACATGAAGAAGAGGGGACACATGTTGATGGAGAAGAGACATGAAGAAGAGGGGACACATGTTGATGTAGAAGAGACATGAAGAAGAGGGGACACATGTTGATGTAGAAGAGACATGAAGAAGAGGGGGACACATGTTGATGTAGAAGGACATGAAGAAGAGGGGACACATGTATGATGTAGAAGAGACATGAAGAAGAGGGGACACATGTGATGTAGAAGAGACGTGAAGAAGAGGCGACACATGTTGATGTAGAAGAGACATGAAGAAGAGGGGACACATGTTGATGTAGAAGAGACAGGAAGAAGAGGGGACACATGTTGATGTAGAAGAGACATGAAGAAGAGGGGACACATGTTGATGTTAGAGAGACATGAAGAAGAGGGGACACATGTTGATGTAGAAGAGACATGAAGAAGAGGGGACACATGTTGATGTAGAAGAGACATGGAAAAGTGCATAATATGTGACATTTAAAGTTCCGGCACAATATATTGATTATTTCTTACAGGATTCAGGGGAGAACAACTCCACGGACCCCCACGAGGCCCTCACAGAAACCTCCACTCTGACCTTTGTGGACGTGCATGAGTCCGCAGAGAGCCACAGTCTCCACGGGTTGGTCTACCTGAGGGAGTTTGTGCTGATAGACGACGATGATGACGGAGACATGTCTCTGAGGGAGAAGACGGTCACTGATCTGACGGTGATGGACGGCCGGGCAGCAGATCTGGTTTGTGGACGACTGCTGTCCACCTCCAGCGGCTCGCTGTCCGAGAGCAGGGAGGAAGAGGAGGCTGAGGAGGAGCCTCAACAAGAGGAAGAGGAGGCTGCAGGGGCGAAGAAACGCTGCTGTTTCTGCACACTTTTATGACCAAGAACTTCTCCCTTTTGTATTTCAAAAATAGTTGAGTGTTCAGTAGACTAACGCTTTCATCTACTCCCAACATGTATTTATTCTCAATAATAACTTTTCCTTTATCTTAAAATGTTGTTTTTTCCTAACATTTCCACTTTTTGTCCAACATTGCGACTTTAGTTTTCAACAACTAACCTTGTAGTGCTTTCATGACCGAGAAGACACTCTTTCAGACTGGGTATTTTATTTGTTGCTGGTGATAGCAGGGAAGATGTATAGGTTTGGTGACATAAGTCAAACACCTGTGGAAATCAGGGGAAAAAACATGAGGAGGTCATGCTGGGCCCTTATTCTCTTCCAATGTAAGATTTGTTTGTTTTTTTAAGTTATGTGTTAATCAAATGTTCAGGCACTGATTTAACAGAGCAATTACCAGACATCAAAAACATTCAGCCATAAGAAACCTACACTACAAAAAGTGACACCTTATTTAGATAATCATGACATATGTATGCTGGGAAGAGTTATACTTTTAGTTTGCCGAACATTGAAAGAATTTGATCAAGTGAGATAAAATTATAATTTTCAAGTTAAACAAATGTCTATTATACATTTTTGATACTAAAAAAAGCGTGTGTGTAATATTTGATCTGAATGAAAGATTCTGTGACGCAGGTCTAGAAAGATCAGGTGCTAATCACAAATAAATATTTCTCCAATGGCCAAATGTTGTGTGACACTTTCTTTGGCCATGTTGTGTAAAATGAACACACGTTGGACACGGTTGGAATCACACCAGCTTCTAAACCAAATGATTGGACAAGAAGTCATGTGACCGTGCTGTAGTTCCTTTATAGCCCAACATTAGCCGCCTTTAGCTTAGCGGTGGTGACGTGAAGTCATGTGACCGTGCTGTATTTCCTTTATAGCCCAACATTAGCCGCCTTTAGCTTAGCGGTGGTGACGTGAAGTCATGTGACCGTGCTGTAGTTCCTTTATAGCCCAACATTAACCACCTTTAGCTTAGCGGTGGTGACATGAAGTCATGTGACCGTGCTGTAGTTCCTTTATAGCCCAACATTAGCCTCCTTTAGCTTAGCGGTGGTGACGTGAAGTCATGTGACCGTGCTGTAGTTCCTTTATAGCCCAACATTAGCCTCCTTTAGCTTAGCGGTGGTGACGTGAAGTCATGTGACCGTACTGTAGTTCCTTTATAGCCCAACATTAGCCTCCTTTAGCTTAGCGGTGGTGACGTGAAGTCATGTGACCGTGCTGTAGTTCCTTTATAGCCCAACATTAGCCTCCTTTAGCTTAGCGGTGGTGACGTGAAGTCATGTGACCGTACTGTAGTTCCTTTATAGCCCAACATTAGCCTCCTTTAGCTTAGCGGTGGTGACGTGAAGTCATGTGACCGTACTGTAGTTCCTTTATAGCCCAACATTATCAATACAGAAAATGATAAAGGGCTGTTGATATGTGGAGATTGTTGTACACCTCACCCATTTTTTTCATCTTTTGACAAATATAAGAACTACATTTCAATTGTTTCCATTTCATATATTTCCTCTAAAAGATTCTTCCATTTCAAGCTAATAACGTTAGCATCTTTCAACCGACTCTTGTTTTTTTTTCTTCTTAATTTTATGTGGTGTCTTCAAGTGTTTTTTGAATTCTGAGAAAGACCAAACATATTTGACAGTTCTCTTGTAGATATTTCGCAGAAGCCACAATAGCTTTACATGTCCAACACATATGACTCAGTTTGACTTATGCTCACCGCATTCTCTTTTTTTATTTCTTCATACTTCCTCTGAATTTGGGGTGTCTTAATATATTGATATGCTCTGAAGGACAGACTGGGTTTAATCAGGCGGTGTTTGGTTGGTTTGAGTGACAGAGATACCCCGCTGAGGCTAAAAGATAACAGACCACTACTCTTATCTCACCCCCAAAAAACGTAATGCCAACTGACTCCCCTCAGCGCCCACGACACTGTGTCAGGACACACTTAAATGTGTGTAAACAAAAACACTTCTACGTCAGCAGCAGTTTCCAGTTTCATTCCTATTTTTAAGATTTTTACAGAGGTTGTCATTCACATACCATTCACAGAGTAATGTATACATTTGTTGCTAAAAACAGGCAGAAAATGTATATTTTATGGCAGTATTTTCAGTTGTATGGAGTGATACAAAGAGATTCCCTCTGTAAAAGCCTTAGACATTTATATGGCAGCTAAACAAAACTATAATATTGAACCTAACGTTATCCAATGTGAAGATTTCTGTTCTGGATATACGCAAATAAGCACATTAACCAATACATATTTTATCTATAGCCAAATATCACAAGTTATTATAGTTACACGTATTAGTTCAATACTGGATTCTTATTGGTCAATTTGGACATTTTAGAGGTCTGTTATTTATTTTTTACTAGACTGTTGCTAAGGAGAATCGAAGGACTATGTGCAGTCATTAATTCGGCAAATGTAATATTAGAAAAAGTACTCAGATCTACTTGAGTAAAAGTAGAAGTACTCAGATATTGTACTTGAGTAAAAGTAGAAGTACTCAGGTCTTGTACTTTAGTAAAAGTAGAAGTACTCATATCTTGTACTTGAGTAAAAGTAGAAGTACTCAGATCTTGTACTTGAGTAAAAGTAGAAGTACTCATATCTTGTACTGCAGTAAAAGTAGAAGTACTCAGGTCTTGTACTTGAGTAAAAGTACCAGAGTGTAGGAATACTCAATACAGTAAAAGTCCTGCATTCAAAATGTTCCTCAAGTAAAAGTAGAAAAGTATTCTCATCAAAATATAGTGAAAGTAGCGACAGTAAAAGTAGTCATTGTGCAGATTGGTCCATTTCAGAATAATATATATGATATGTTTTATAATGATTGATCATGAAAGTGTTCTCAAAGCTGGTAAAGGTGCAGCTAGTCTGAATGACTTTGTATACTGCAGGGTAGCTGGTGGATTTACTCCAGGTGGAACTAAAGTCTGATTCAACACTTGGTTAGATTTCACATCATTCATCCAGATCTGTAAAGTAACTAAAGGTATTAAATACATGTAGTGGAGTAAAAGTACACCATTTACCTCTGAACTGTAGTGGAGTAGAAGTGTGAAGTAGCAGAAAATCCCTTATGCTCCTTAAAATTGTACTTGAGTAAATGTACTTAGTCACTTGACATCACTGCTTTACTGTGTGAAGAGCATAGGACACTACATGTTGAAGAAGATAATGCCTCATGTTCACCTTTAAACAAACACATTATACAGTGTAGTGCTTTTAAAAGACATCTTTGCTACCACAGTGCTCGTCCAACAGGTTCTTCAGGGCCAAATATAGGCTGTTATCAGCGTCCGCAGCATGACTCTGCAGTTCAGAGCAACTAAGTGTCAGAGGAAGACAGATTAAAACCAGCAGCTGCAAGAAAACCATTGAGAAAAAATGTGTTTGTTTTCCTCTCACGACGACCTCGACTCACCCACTCAGATCCTGCATATCTGATCCACTCATGACGGAAGTGAAGAATGAGAAGAGGAGAATATTAGGATGAGGAGCGTCTTGTGAAGAGTAGAGACTCTCAGAGAGGATGGAGGACAGAAACACAGCCATGATCGTGTTGCTCCTGCTCTGCGTCACGGCAGGTAAAAAACACAACATTTTATTCATTTGTATTCAGATTTAAAAAAAAAAAATTTCATACGCACAACAGTTACCGGGTAGAATAGTCTCAGAGTGCATGTTAAGCTTCAGACATAAAAATAAATGTATTTGTATAGTATCCTATATTTTGTTATTATTGGTCTAAGTTGATCAATTACAGTATATTCTAATGTGTTCTGTGTTTATTGTATATTGTGTTTTCTAAAGATACTTATAGATTTTTTGATTTATACTGTTGATATGTATATGTTTACTGTTTATTTTAATTTGTTTAACTCGTGCAAAATGCCATACATGCTGCTGTAACAAAGCAATTCCTAATTTGGGATCAAAAAGTATATTTAATCTAAATAAAGAAGGAAAATAGTGCAAATGACACGATGCAGTTAAAATGTAAAATCTTATCAGATGAGACAGAATGCTAAATTAACAGTAGGATAAATACTCTATACTTTAAATTAATATACAAATAAATACATATAGTCTGAGAATATTGAATACTTGCTAAACCTTAAAAAAAAGATTGAGTCCATCCTCTATCAAAGCATTAAAAAGCAATAAGCACTCGTTTTAAATGACATGATTTGACATGAACGTATATTGATAACCTGATTTTGCTTGCTTGTATTAAATCAAATAATTATTTATACACAGAACTTGTAATTGTATAGTTCTATTTCAGCATGTTTTACTATATATTTATTTTGCAAACTCTTTGAAACATATCTCCATTAAACTCACGATTTAAAGTGATTCTTCATAAACTCACTTTTACTTGTTAATTAATTCAACTAAATACAATCCTGTGAGCTTTAATGCGATAGTAGATTACACATTTCTTTAGTGGAGTGCAGTCCTCTAATCTCATACACATGTATATTTAAAATATATACAATGATTTGTTTTAATCCAATGTTGCTGTTTTAACTTTCATTATCAACGTTTCTACTTCATCTGTCTCAATGACGTAACGTTAAATGTATTTTGTCCCACTTTTGTCTGACTTTCTGTTGTAATATCCCTGTGCTTTTAAGTTGATCTAAAGACAAAATGAATACATGCATGATTGAAGAGTGTAAAAAAAAAAGATATTGACAGATATACTTTATGTTAATCCTCTCAGAGATGCAGGTAGACGGCCTCTCTCGGGATGTGTGTGCTAGCTGCCATGCTAAAGCTACATGTGACGACAAATCAGACGGATCTGGAAAAGTCTGTAACTGCAAGTACGGGTTCGTTGGCAATGGGATACGTTTCTGTCAAGGTAGGACACATCCTTTTACTGTTTATTCATCATGTGCATAGTGTAAACTGTATGCTATTAGGTTGTGTTACTTGCTGTGGAAACTTAGCCTACATGACATTTAGCCGTTGCTTTTTTTCAAAACGACTTACAATAAGAATAAGTGCAATAAACCAAACTACTGTAAGGTGCATTAGTATCAAATGGGCTCAACTCATGTGTGCTGCATATTCTGTATTATTTTATTCTGTTGGTTTTATGGCGAAGGTATTATTGAAACAGGAGGGTTTTCAGTACACCACATTGCTCTGTATTCTGCTGCTAACTTGCTATATGTCTGCAAACATCGATTGGCTCGTTAAAACAATTATAAAAAATGTTATGCATTAAATGCTTTAATAGAACATCTAAATGACAATATTGTTTATTGCCAAGTAGGTTTTACTTACAGCGAATGTGCATGGTGTTTTACATAACCTACATATGCATATCCAACACAGTCTCACGGCATTTCGTGTTATAGTCACGAAATGAATCTTTTGATTCTTGTTCACCAACACGATTTTGCCATTTTTTTCGTGTCACACAGAACGATTTTAAAAGCAAAATTATAAATAATAACGAATTAGAAGGAAAAACAGATTTAAAAAATACAGATTTCAGTATTCTGACACAGAACGATTTTAGAAGCAATGTATTTCTATTGGTAGGCCTAGTATGTTTCCTGCCTGCAACAAATAATAACAAATTAGAAGGAAAAAAATACAAAAAATACAGATTTCAGTATTCTGAGGCTCTAAGCCATTTATTTTCCTCGCGGACGGCAAAAAAAACTCCGACATTATACAATTTAAAATAAAAGGGATAGGGTTAGGCTTAGGGTAAGATACTGAGTAAGAAAATGTTTTTATGAACCACACAGCTTCCGGTCTTCCAAGACCCAACCGGACAAAAAGACGTGGTGCAGGCACGAAACATACCAATAGAAATACATTGCTTTTAAAATCGTTCTGTGTGACACGAAAAAAAATAAAAATTGAATTGATTAAATTAATTTCGTGACTATAACACGAAATGCCGTGAGACTGGGTTGGCATAACCACAGTAAGAGAAGTGTGGTTAAACATTTTTAGTGTGTGAAGGATTGTTTGTCTGTTTCCATTTAGGGTTTTTCTTCCTGTTTATGAGATGTAATTGCCTTATAGAGGTTAATTTACTTAATTATGTATGCTTCTAATTGGCCAATATAAGTCAAAGGTCTCTGAAGTAAATATAAATAATTAAACAGAACTAGTAATAATTTGAGTTATCTCACATCTGGGTGTTTAGTGATCAGAAAATCGATCATATAGCCCAATTTAACAAATTACACATTTGTCAAAGGGGGCTTTTTTTGTGATTTATCTGTATAAATCAGCAGGTCTAGATATTTACGTAAGAAAGGGACCTCTGTGGATAATCCAGCTTTTGGTAAAACCTTCATGAGGTGTTAATAAATGTTACCTGTTTCCAGATAAAGACGAGTGTCAGATCGGAGCCAGTAAGATCTGCGGGCTTCACACCGACTGCCACAACACGCAAGGCAGCTACTTCTGCACCTGCCTGAGCGGATTCACCCCGTCCAACAACATGAACCTCTTCACCCCCAACGACAGGACGCACTGCCAGGGTGAGCTTACAGTCCCCATTGATCAACTGTCACAAAGAACAGTAAATGACATATACAACATTGCTCATTTCCAGCTGTTGTCCCCGGCCAGATGATAATAGACACCTTTTTAAAATCACAATATATCAACAGCATTAGTTATAAAGAAAGTAGGGATTCTCCGATCGCCAATTTCGGGGCCGATCACCGGAATCAGTATCGGCCGATACCGATCGCCGATCCGATCAAGTGGGCGGGGCCTAAATGGAAGATTTAAACATCACTTTAAATCTTCCATTTAAAGTGATGGTTAAACTCAGTTAATGGGGCTCATTCACTGGAGCTTCCACAAACAACAATCAACTTAATTATTACATTCAAATTATGTACATTATTCAAGTTTACATTCACTTTGGATAATAACACGGGAGAAATGAGCGGAAGCGCTCTCTTTTCTTCTCTCCCCCTCTCTCTCCCTCCTGACAGCCTGTCAGTATCTCATTCAGCTCACTGATCCAGTAATGAGTGACCCGACAGTGAAGAATAAATATATTTATAATAACTAGTTTAGCTTGTTCCAGAGGTAGATCAAATAGCTAAGTAGGTCTAACTCTTGTGTGTTTCGTCCCGCTTACCGGTCCGTCTCAGCGGGCGGAGCTGCAGGATTTCTGCTTCACGTTGCATTCCGCTATTTTACTGTCTTTTCCGGACACCTTGAAATAATGCCAGACCGGTGAAGCCATTTTGGCGAGCTTGTTTTGCCGCGCACTGAGAAAAGTGTCATGTATTTTACGTCATGCGATCGGCTCTCGCGATCGGCATGTTTAGAGAGCACCGATCGATTGGTAGAGAGTGAGTATCGGCCGATCTCGATAGGTGACCGATCGATCGGAGCATCCCTAAAAGAAAGGATGAAAGACAAGTAGATTTTGTCTTTTTTATAACGAGAGCTCACTGCTCCATAGCTTCTCTTTGGTTAACTGGACTTTAACTTCACACTGTACATTTATAATTAATGTAATATTCCATGCCTTACACACTTAATGTAAATAGTACCCTGCTTTACATTAGGCGCGTTCACACCGGAGTACTTTTCCCTTTTAGTTCAGGTACTTTCCTGGGGAGAAAAAAGTTCCAATTTCTGATTGGCTGGGCGAATTGCAAACCACGCCCCGTAAAACTCTGAACAGTTTTGTGAAGCTGCCATTGTATTTGCTGGCATTAGCATTATTAGCATTAGCATTAGCCCACCAACGGAGAGAGACTAACTTATGGCAACACAAAAGAAAACATGGGAGCGGTGGAGATGAGGAGGTGTCGGCGTTCTGGTGATTTACTCGGAAGGCTTCAGTAGAAGCTGCTGGGAGTCCCAGCAGCTTCTACTGAAGCCAGTCCCCAACTCCGGGGACTTCCGTCCGGGGACTCCGGGTGGCAGTATACGCCGTGAAGTTATTTGCGGCCTGCCAGTAAACCCAAAGTGACGTCAGCGGCTTAATTTGCGTAATCTTCCCGGGAATTATTCCGGTGTGAACGCGATCGGCTCTTAGTTCCATGGGGGAACTAACTGCTGGGAACTAAGTATTGCAAAGTACTTGGTGTGAAAGCGCCTATTGTGTAAACTAAAAATGTGTCCTTCGATAGTGTTTTATTTGTCAGATAGTTTATAGATTTGTTATCTTCCCGGCAACATGCCGCTGCAATGAAAACATTTCCCAATTTGGGATCAATAAAGTACATCTTATCTTATTGTTTAACAGTGCTTTTAAATAGGAGGCCCTGAAGGTCAAAACACAACGACATTTTAAAAAACATGACATTTCACCAAACACAAAAAAACTATAAAACAAAACAAAACATTTGTCAGAAATAATTAGAAAAAAAACATCTAACAAAACATAAAAATAAATACCAAAACCAAAAACATGTGTGATGTATTTTTTACCTTCAGGGCCACCGTACTAAAAGGCCAAAATTGCCAATATTAGAGATTAAAACATTATGAGTACACATCTGAAAGTTTGGACTTTTATCTATTATTTAAATGCCACATGCTCTTTTATTGTTTGTCTGTGCAGATATTGATGAGTGCACGGTCACAGGCCTTTGTGGAGAGGGGGGGCAGTGCAGGAATCTGGAGGGAAGCTTTGAGTGCAGCTGCATTCTGGGATATAAAGTCCAAAACGGAGCCGAGCCCTTCCACCCTCACAGAGACAAAGCTTCCTGCAAAGATGAATCTGCAATATTTTGTGCTGTAATTGGATATATTAGTACTTAAGGGTCGTACTGTCTGTATTTTTGGCAAGACAATTGATCATGGAGACTTAATTATAGGAGCAAATCCCATTTTTACAAATACAAATCCCACTTTTGGTCAAAAAGCACCCTTCAGTTTGTACATGGCTGGTTCATTGACGGTCTCTGATGAATATACAACAGGATGATCAGTAGGAGGTTTTTTTTGTGGGTCTAATAAAGGATTTCTGTTTCTGGAGAACACCTGAAACCACTTGTTTACATTTTACTGCCTTTACCGTATTGTTCTTGTTTTTGTATAGTAATGTTGTATTGTTTTATAAGCGTTACTGTTCTATGTATCATAGGTCACATTTGTTGTCACTTTGCCACAATCTAATCTAATCTAAAACCTGGATTTAATCTTGAGTTTTCTGATGTCCTCTCGCTCTCTCAGTGGTAGACTGCGGTCATCCGGAGGCAGCGGAGGACACGGTGCTGCTGTCGGTGTCAGGGACGACGTACGGCAGTGCGGCCATGTTTGTTTGTGAGGAGGGCTTCGTGTGGAGGAGAGGAAACAACAGATCTGTGTGTGAAGATGACGGCCTGTGGAGAGGAGGCAACATGAGCTGTGAAGGTAACAACTCACCTGCAGGGAAAATAACAAGTACTCAGATCCTTTACTTAGGATCTGATATGGGCGAAAAATAGTAACTCCTGCATTCAAAGTGTTTCTTAAAGGTCCCCTATTATACTGTTTTTCATCAATATATTACAGGTCTCAGATATATACAGAACCTGTCTCTGATTGGCTGAAATACCAAACAGATCCTTGCAGCATTACCCATAATCCCCTCTGTTTCAGCCCTGTTTCAAAAGTGCTAATTCTGTGTCTGTAGCTTTAAATGCTAATGAGCTGCTGCTGGCCACGCCCCTCTGCGATGTGATTGGTTTAAAAAACACAATGGTGCTCTAGGAGGAGATTCAGGTGATAAGGTGGGGGGGGGGGGGGGGTACCTTGGTTGGTTATTGGCTAATGGTTACACAAGACAAACAACAGTTGTGACATCACAAAGTGGCCAAAATCTGTAATTGCACAATTAATTAAATACAAATATTCAAGTATCCTATCATACCTTAAAGCAACAATACATTTAATAAGAATATATATACAAACATAAGAAGGTAACGTAAATATAACAAATGTATACTAGATTCAAAGATTCAAAGATTCAAAGGTTGTATTGTCATATGCACAAAGCTACAGTGTAGAAATGGCAATGAAAGTCTAGATACATGTCAATATATATATATATATAGAATATGGTACCACTTTACAATAAGACTACCCGTATAAAGGGTTTACGAATAGTTTCTAATTCATTTATGAATTAGGTTGTGAACACTTTATAAATCACTAATAAGCTTTTATAAGACATGAGATACACAGGGCGACTGTGACCGGTTGCTTGCCAAATAGTGAGTCCACATGTATCTGCACTGCTAAGCCTTATATTGGCTACCTAGCTTACTTTGTGTTCTTCATCAGCCAGCATCCTTGGTATCTGTTGCTCACTCAGTAGATTCTCGCTAAGTAGCCAATAGAAGGCTTAGTCATCTTGCCAAATAGTGAGCCTGTGTTGATGTATGAAAACTATGTTAGAACTGGTTTATAAATGGTTCGTAATGATTAATAAAGTGTTTACAACCTAATTAATAACCTAATTATCAACCCTTTATGAATCCTTTATAAAGGTAGTCTTATTGGAAAGTGGTACCTCTTTGTATATTTATATTTACATTTGGTCTTTATTCTTTTTTATTGCTAAATAGTTTCTTAAAAATACTTATTTTTATTATCTTTATATTTTTGACGTACTACTGCAACTTATTTACTTAGATTGTTTATGTTACCAACACCAGACACCCAAGCAAATCCTTTGTGTGTGTTAATGTACCTGGCAATAAACTCGATTCTAATTCTGATATTAAGAAATATAATTAAAAGAAACAGCATTTTGAAAAACATGACATTTCACCAAACACAAAAAAACAATTAGACAAATCAAAACATTTGTCAGAAACAATTAGAAAAAAAAACCTCTAACAAAACATTAAAAAAAATAAAAATGTGTGATGTATTTTTTACCTTCAGGGCCACCGTACAAAAAGGCCAACACTGCCAATATTAGAGATTAACACATGATGACTACACATCTGAAAGTTTGGACTTTCATCTATTATTTAAATATCACATCAGGGGTAAACATTAAGGGTAAAACTCCACTGGCCCACCCATTGTAACCACTGGCCCACCCATTGTAACCACTGGCCCACCCATTGTAACCACTGGCCCACCCATTGTAACCACTGGCCCCACCATTGTAACCACTGGCCCCACCATTGTAACCACTGGCCCACCCATTGTAACCACTGGCCCCACCATTGTAACCACTGGCCCCACCATTGTAACCACTGGCCCACCCATTGTAACCACTGGCCCCACCATTGTAACCACTGGCCCGGATCACTGGCCCACCCATTGTAACCACTGGCCCCACCATTTTAACCACTGGCCCGGATCACTGGCCCCACCATTGTAACCACTGGCCCACCATTGTAACTACTGGCCTCACCATTGTAACCACTGGCCCCACCATTGTAACCACTGGCCCACCATTGTAACCACTGGCCCCACCATTGTAACCACTGGCCCGGATCACTGGCCCCACCATTGTAACCACTGGCCCCACCATTGTAACCACTGGCCCGGATCACTGGCCCCACCATTGTAACCACTGGCCCACCATTGTAACCACTGGCCCACCATTGTAACCACTGCCCCACCATTGTAACTACTGGCCCGGATCACTGGCCCCACCATTGTAACCACTGGCCCACCATTGTAACCACTGGCCCACCATTGTAACCACTGGCCCCACCATTGTAACCACTGGCCCGGATCACTGGCCCCAACATTGTAACCACTGGCCCGGATCACTGGCCCACCATTGTAACCACTGGCCCACCATTGTAACCACTGGCCCCACCATTGTAACCACTGGCCCACCATTGTAACCACTGGCCCCACCATTGTAACCACTGGCCCCACCATTGTAACCACTGGCCCCACCATTGTAACCACTGGCCCGGAGCATTCGACCAAAAAGATCGACTAATAATGAAGAAAATTAACACATTAGTTGCAATAGTAATTTATGCACTAACTACATTACTACTTGTACTACAATATTTGAATCATCAGTGCTTCCTCATTTTCCTCAATTGTTCATATTTGGTTTATTAAAATAATGATATTGTGGTCATTGTTAAAACATTTCTGCTATTATCATTATTATGAGTATTATTATAATGCACTTTCTGCCTTCCTGTCATTAGGAGTTAGACATGTAATGGCTATGTAATAGATTTGATTAGAACCTTCATTCTCCTAAACTGCTGGGACATTTCCCTATAGCGAATATACCTTTATATTTTCTACTCTTCACTTACTTGTCAGCATAGGTCGGCTTTGATGTACAGAGCCGACAGAAGACCTTGTTTATATTGGCATCATATTGAAACTAACTCCATCGATCAAGCCAGCGTGGCTGAAACTTTCTCTCCCTCTTCTTCTCCTACTCCCTGTCACTCTCCTTTAACTCCTCCGGGGACATTCTTTTATTTGAAGATTGTTTTTTGGCCGGTTACCGCTGGTATTAAAAACATTTTGGCGAATGGTTAGGTGGCGCTAAAGTCTGTAGTGGACGAGCGCGCTGCCGCTCACGGGAGCCTGCTCGCGTTGCGCTCTGCAGCAAACAGCTGTTTTATTTTCACCCAACAACAACAACCGTCTCACGAAACGCTATGTTGTAGCATTAATAAACTAAACAATTTAACAAAATTGCTAGTCAAAATACCACTGGACAATTCTTTTTAAAGCAATATTTTGAGTGGCCCGAGCGGGCAAGGCCCGGGGTGTCTAGTGGTTCCGGGCCAGCGGGCCATTTATAATGTCGAGCCCTGCACATGCTCTTTTATTGTTTGTCTGTGCAGATATTGATGAGTGCACGGTCACAGGCCTTTGTGGAGAGGGGGGGCAGTGCAGGAATCTGGAGGGAAGCTTTGAGTGCAGCTGCATTCTGGGATATAAAGTCCAAAACGGAGCCGAGCCCTTCCACCCTCCCAGAGACAAAGCTTCCTGCAAAGGTGAATCTGCAATATTTTGTGCTGTAATTGGATATATTAGTACTTAAGGGTCGTACTGTCTGTATTTTTGGCAAGACAATTGATCATGGAGACTTAATTATAGGAGCAAATCCCACTTTTACAAATACAAATCCCACTTTTGGTCAAAAAGCACCCTTCAGTTTGTACATGGCTGGTTCATTGACGGTCTCTGATGAATATACAACAGGATGATCAGTAGGAGGTTTTTTTTTTGGGACTAATAAAGGATTTCTGTTTCTGGAGAACACCTGATCCACTTGTTTACATTTTACTGCCTTTACCGTATTGTTCTTGTTTTTGTATAGTAATGTTGTATTGTTTTATAAGCGTTACTGTTCTATGTATCATAGGTCACATTTGTTGTCACTTTGCCACAATCTAATCTAATCTAAAACCTGGATTTAATCTTGAGTTTTCTGATGTCCTCTCGCTCTCTCAGTGGTAGACTGCGGTCGTCCGGAGGCAGCGGAGGACACGGTGCTGCTGTCGGTGTCAGGGACGACGTACGGCAGTGCGGCCATGTTTGTTTGTGAGGAGGGCTTCGTGTGGAGGAGAGGAAACAACAGATCTGTGTGTGAAGATGACGGCCTGTGGAGAGGAGGCAACATGAGCTGTGAAGGTAACAACTCACCTGCAGGGAAAATAACAAGTACTCAGATCCTTTACTTAGGATCTGATATGGGCGAAAAATAGTAACTCCTGCATTCAAAGTGTTTCTTAAAGGTCCCCTATTATACTGTTTTTCATCAATATATTACAGGTCTCAGATATATACAGAACCTGTCTCTGATTGGCTGAAATACCAAACAGATCCTTGCAGCATTACCCATAATCCCCTCTGTTTCAGCCCTGTTTCAAAAGTGCTGATTCTGTGTCTGTAGCTTTAAATGCTAATGAGCTGCTGCTGGCCACGCCCCTCTGCGATGTGATTGGTTTAAAAAACACAATGGTGCTCTAGCAGAAGATTCAGGTGATAAGGTGGGGGGGGGGGGGGGGGGGGGGGGTTACCTTGGTTGCTGATTGGCTAATGGTTACACAAGCCAAAAACATTTGTGGCAACACAAAGTGGCCTAAATCTTTAATTGCACAATTAGGAACAAAAAATACTCAAATATTCTATCATAGCTTAAAGCAACAATAGATATAAGAAGAATATATACACAAACATAAGAAGGTAAATAAATATAACAAATGTATTCTAAAATATACACAGTGGTTTATTAGTATTGGTATTAATCAGAGATGACAAAAGTACACACATCCTTTACTCAAGTAGAAGTACAGATACTCGTGTTTAAAAATACTCTGGTAAAGTAAAAGTACTGACTAAACTTCTTGACTCAAGTGAAAGTAATGAGGCTTTGAAATGTACGTAAGTAAAAAGTACCCATAACTAGCAGCTGTTTTAAAGAGTACCTGAGCTCCCTTTATATTAATAGAACAATAATGTCATTGTTAGCTAATGAATGTTTCCATGCTGAACAACGGCAACATGACAACGTTTCCATTGGTCCCTCTTCTTTAGAGAAGACCAGGAAATGATGGATACACGGATCGTGTTCAAATCAATAGGCACGCAATGACTCTAAAGAATAATGATCACGCATCAAACACACATTCAGACTAAAGGAACCAGCTGTTTGGAAAATGAGAGAAGTAGAAAGTACAGGTATTTGGGTTCAACATGTAAGAAGTAGAAAGTACAGGTATTTGAGTTCAACATGTAAGAAGTAGAAAGTACAGGTATTTGAGTTCAACATGTAAGAAGTAGAAAGTACAGGTATTTGGGTTCAACATGTAAGAAGTAGAAAGTACAGGTATTTGAGTTCAACATGTAAGAAGTAGAAAGTACAGGTATTTGAGTTCAACATGTAAGAAGTAGAAAGTACAGGTATTTGAGTTCAACATGTAAGAAGTAGAAAGTACAGGTATTTGAGTTCAACATGTAAGAAGTAGAAAGTACAGGTATTTGTGTTCAACATGTAAGAAGTAGAAAGTACAGGTATTTGAGTTCAACATGTAAGAAGTAGAAAGTACAGGTATTTGAGTTCAACATGTGAGAAGTAGAAAGTACAGGTATTTGGGTTCAACATGTGAGAAGTAGAAAGTACAGGTATTTGGGTTCAACATGTGAGAAGTAGAAAGTACAGGTATTTGAGTTCAACATGTAAGAAGTAGAAAGTACAGGTATTTGTGTTCTACATGTAAGAAGTAGAAAGTACAGGTATTAGTGTTCAACATGTAAGAAGTAGAAAGTACAGGTATTTGTGTTCTACATGTAAGAAGTAGAAAGTACAGGTATCTGGGTTCAACATGTAAGAAGTAGAAAGTACAGGTATTTGTGTTCAACATGTAAGAAGTACAAAGTACAGGTATTTGAGTTCAACATGTAAGAAGTAGAAAGTACAGGTATTTGTGTTCTACATGTAAGAAGTAGAAAGTACAGGTATTTGGGTTCAACATGTGAGAAGTAGAAAGTACAGGTATTTGAGTTCAACATGTAAGAAGTAGAAAGTACAGGTATTTGTGTTCTACATGTAAGAAGTAGAAAGTACAGGTATTTGGGTTCAACATGTAAGAAGTAGAAAGTACAGGTATTTGGGTTCAACATGTAAGAAGTAGAAAGTACAGGTATTTGAGTTCAACATGTAAGAAGTAGAAAGTACAGGTATTTGAGTTCTACATGTGAGAAGTAGAAAGTACAGGTATTTGGGTTCAACATGTAAGAAGTAGAAAGTATAGGTATTTGAGTTCAACATGTAAGAAGTAGAAAGTACAGGTATTTGGGTTCAACATGTAAGAAGTAGAAAGTACAGGTATTTGGGTTCAACATGTGAGAAGTAGAAAGTACAGGTATTTGAGTTCAACATGTAAGAAGTAGAAAGTACAGGTATTTGGGTTCAACATGTGAGAAGTAGAAAGTACAGGTATTTGAGTTCAACATGTAAGAAGTAGAAAGTACAGGTATTTGTGTTCTACATGTAAGAAGTAGAAAGTACAGGTATTTGAGTTCAACATGTGAGAAGTAGAAAGTACAGGTATTTGTGTTCTACATGTGAGAAGTAGAAAGTACAGGTATTTGTGTTCAAAATGTAAGAAGTCAAAGTAAAAAGTAATCAGAAAAATAAGTAGTGGAGTAAAATACTGATACCAGAAACATATGCTTAAGTACAGTAACGAAGTATTTGTACTCCACTACTTCCCACCTCTGGTAGTAATAAGGTAATGTGTCATGGTGATATCTGACAGTAAATGGTGTCTGTGCAGCTTTTTCAGAGCGGTTTTAACCAGTTTCAGGAGCACAGACTCACAACTCCACTGCAGATTTCCAGTGATTTGATGCATCATGTGGATGCTTTGGCCCCCAGAGGTGAACTGTGGCCCCCCCCCAGCCGCCCCTCACTCTCTCAGGCTGTGGGACCTGAGCTCCAGGCCGGGCTCCAGGGCGATTTATCAGTGTAACTCTGGATATCATAATGTGGGGAAAGGAAATGTGTCGAAGTGTAACGCTGCAGGAGAATGGGAGGGACCGCCGCTGCTCTGCAAAGGTACACTCACTGACTCACTGATTTCAGGGTGTTTGAGGCTGATTTCTACGGTGGCCCTGAAGGACAAATCACAACAATATTTCAGAAAACACAAATATACAAAAACATTAAAGGTTTATTTTTGTTTTGGGAAATATAGTTGTGTTTTCTGATATTTTGTTTTGTTCTGAAATGTTTGTTTTTATTTTAATTAAGTGTTTTTTTTCGGATATATTTTCTTTTGATTTGTGATTTTTTTGTGTGTTTTGTGATTTTTTCTTGTGCTTTTTGAAATGTTGTCTTAGGCAAGGCAAGGCAAGGCAAGGCAAGGCAAGGCAAGGCAAGGCAAGGCAAGGCAAGGCAAGGCAAGGCAAGGCAAGGCAAGGCAAGGCAAGGCAAGGCAAGGCAAGGCAAGGCAAGGCAAGTTTATTTATATAGCACTTTTCAACACAAGGCAATTCAAAGTGCTTTACAAAAAATGAAAGAGATTAAGAAAATGGCATTTAAAATCAGTCATTAAAAAGAAAAGCTAATAAAATAAACATTAAAAGAAAAATACATGGATAAAAGTTACAGTGCAGTCTAAGATATGAATAGTTCAATTAAAAGCAGCGACAAAAAGAAAAGTCTTCAGCCTGGATTTAAAAGTAGTCAGAGTTGTAGCGGACCTGCAGGTTTCTGGGAGTTTGTTCCAGATATTTGGAGCATAATAACTGAACGCTGCTTCTCCATGTTTAGTTCTGACTCTGGGGACAGAAAGCTGACCAGTCCCTGAAGACCTGAGAGATCTGGATGGTTCATAATTTAGCAGGAGGTCAGAAATGTATTTTGGGCCTAAACCATTCAGTGCTTTATAAACCAGCAGCAGTATTTTGAAATCTATTCTTTGACACACAGGAAGCCAGTGTAAACACTTCAGAACAGGAGTGATGTGATCCACTTTCTTAGTGTTAGTGAGGACTCGAGCAGCAGCGTTCTGAATCAGCTGCAGCTTCCTAATAGATTTTTTAGTGAGACCTGTGAAGACACCATTGCAGTAGTCCAGTCTACTGAAGATAAAAGCATGGACAAGTTTTTCCAAATCCTGCTGTGACATTAGTCTTTTAATCCTAGATATATTCTTTAGGTGATAGTAGGCTGATTTAGTAACAGTTTTAATGTGACTGTTGAAACTCAGGTCAGAGTCCATGACTACACCTAGATTTCTGGCTTTATCTGTTGTTTTGAACATTGTACACTGAAGCTCAGCGCTAACTTTTATACGTTCTGCCTTGGCTCCAAAAACCATTACCTCAGTTTTATCTTTGTTTAATTGGAGAAAGTTCTGACACATCCAGTCATTGATTTGTTCAATGCACTTACTCAGTGTTTGAATTGGAGCATAGTCTCCTGGTGAAATTGTTACGTAAATGTGTGTGTCATCTGCATAGCTATGGTAACTTATTTTGTTGTTCTTCATTATCTGAGCCAGTGGTAGCATGTAGATGTTAAAGAGAAGAGGCCCCAAGATGGAGCCTTGAGGAACCCCACATGTCATATTTGTCAACTCAGATGTGTATTTACCTATAGAAACAAAGTTGTTTCTGTCCTTAACCTTTATAGCCACAATATTACAAGTAATGAGAAGCTTGTTTACACACACAGGTCTTTTGTATCTGAACTTTAACTTCCCTGACTAGTGCTTTTTCTTGATCAATGAATCGATTAATCAGCCAATTATTTTCTAAATTAATTGATTCTTTGTCTAAAAATAAATCTGAATATAGTAAAAATTATCCATTTCAATTTGATAAAGTCCAAGGTCTTATTTTTTTTAATCAGTTGTCTCAATGCATATCAAAATCAAACAATGTACAAACTGATATGAACAGTAGAGCTGCAATTTAAGATTATTGTCACTATGGATTATTCTGCCAATTATCTCTGAGAATAATGTCAAAAAACGTCCATCGTAGTTTCTTCAAATGTAATGTTTTGCTTTAAATGTCTTATTTTGTCAGCCTTAAAACCAAACATTATCACTCTATTATGATATCAAACCGCCATATTTGCATGAAATCTACCAAAAAACGATGAATCAATTACCAAAAGAGTGTAGTTGCCTATTATATTATGGGTCATTTATTATTTCAGGCCAATCAACTGCTCCATGAATGTTCATGAACAACCTGTTGCATGTGAATACTTTTCTGTTTACCGGCGTGTTGTGCTGCTTTCTCCCTGAATGCAGGAAACAGAAAGTGTGTTCATCTGCTCATGTTTCATGGTTTTAAATGTTATTTCTTGTAGAGATTTTGTGTGGAAGCCCTCCCATAATTGAGTTCACTGTGCAGTTGTGGGACGGAAGCTCAGCCCCGAGCAGCCGAGTGCTGTTTGTCTGCGGAGAGGGCTTTAAAAACACAGGAGGAGATGATTCATCCATCTGTGGTGAACACGGTCAGTGGAGCAGCCCCACTCTCACCTGCCAAGGTAACTCAAACTGCAGTGAAACACTACAAAAACTCAAAGTATATGTGTCTAATATCTAGTCAGAATATGTCTTTACACCTGATATAAGACACACTAACTTCAGAAGTCACACTGCAGGGAGATATCAGGTCTGGCTTTTAGACAATGCATCATCTTATTAAAGGTGGGGTAGGTAATTCACTTCAGAAACATTTTTTTTTATATTCCATGGAATGCTCTTAACATCCCGATAGCAATGAATATATTAAATGCTTTGACAATAAATACATACAAAAATGTCACTGTGGAAGCCGTGGCGCTGTAAAAAGCACGACCAATCATCTGAGCCGGCTAAAGTAACTGGATGGCCTACCTGCCTGTCAGCCTTCCATCTGGGCACAAACTTATCTCGTGCCCTCATTGGTCATGTGCGCGTTCGTGTGTGTTGGAGGAGGGGCTCTGTGAGGAAGTCTGAAGGAAGAGGCAGATTTTTTTAGGCTGCGTACTTTCAAATTCTAGCGCACTCGAGCTGGTTTCTCCATTCTTACCTACCCTACCTTTAAGTCAAAAGATCTTATTTTGAGCCGTATCTCAGATTAATTTTTTTTTTACAGATTTATTAGCAAATCACCATTTAACATCAGAACACTTTTGAGTATTTGCGGCTTATATTGTAACAACATTTCCTGATTCTGGTAAAATAGAGTTCAAAATGAGTTCTCCCAGCAAATTACAAGATGTGATTTATCTAAATATCCCTTCTTATTTCAAGACATCTTACCCAGCTAATGTTCACTTGTTCTATTGGCAGATTGTTGTACTTACTTCAAGTGAAAACAGCTTGTTTTCATTATTGTTTAACTTGTTTTTGGAGCAGCATTTTTTTCCAGTGAACCCCTGAAATGTGGTGATTTAAAAAAAAAATGAAATGGTATGTTTTAGTATTTTCTGTCTTGAATTATTGTGTAAAGGGTATTACGAAAGTTGCGCTAGTTGAGGGCAAATTTGATGTCAAAAGAAGTCTTAAAATGATTATATTTTAAAAATACAAAAAAATTTATAAAATAAAGAAGCAGGGGCTCATGTGGGACCCGGCAGCTACCGTCTAAACTAAATGCTGCCGTGATGAAACGCCATATCATGGATTATCAAGGATTCTCTCTGAAACAGTCTGGAGCTCAAAGGCTTTCTCTCTTGCCGGTTATACCACAAGGTGAGTTCCTTTTTATTTCCTGCTTCTTCACACACATGCTCTCCTGTACAGGTTAGCTCTGAGTGTTAGCGATGCTAATGTAAACAAAGACCATATTACATCCAAAACAGTCGGGCATTGTTTCTGATAGCAACTTTCTGATAGGGCCGTGGGTGTAAAGCCAGCCCACATTTCCGATATAACGTCATATCGGACGCAAATCTGGATCAGCTCCGTTGTAGCCCCGTTTTTAGAGATTTGGGTACGGAGGAAAAGAGAGAGAGGGTTTTATTTTCTGACACTGCGTGAGTTCCCTGACACACCGGGGACACATATTTATGTATAAAAGACATCAAAAAGTACATTTTGCATGATAGGTCCCCTTTAAAGGGTAATTGAACGGTTAAAAACGGTGCCTTGACAGCGTCTTTCCGCCCATCTCTGTCCCTTTACCGAAGGCGCCGTGGGAGTTGTAGTCTTTTATACTGTGTTGACTACAGACGTCACAATTAGGTGGCCTTTCTTATAAAAACGAAATACTGGCTCTAACAAGTAACAACGTCCTCTAAAATGTCTTTACTGCTGTTTTTCGTTGCTGTTGGATGACTGTGATCTGATCCCTGTAGAGGTGGAGTGTGGAGTCCCTGCTCAGATCCCTCACTCTGAGATGCTGTGGGATAAAAGCTCCTCAGTGGGATCTCTGGTGGTTTATCAGTGTGTCTCTGGATATGGAAATGTTGGAGAGGAAAATGCGTCTGTGTGTACGGCCAGAGGAGAGTGGGAGGGAGCCTCTCTGCAATGTGAAGGTGATTTACCTGCCTCCATTAACAGAGATAATGCATCTCTATACGGGACAGAGAGCGTAATGTGCTGTAATTGAGAGTTTTAGTGTGAAGTTATTATGAAAATATTTTATTTATATTTAATTGTTTATTATTATAGGTAGAATTAATATATATATTTAATTTGTTATATATTTTTATCTAATTTTAAGATATACATTTTTCAAATATATTTTATAAAAATATGTAGGAATATATTTTATATATTAATATATATATTATTTTATTATTATAGGTAGAATTAATATATATAAGTATTTAATTCTCTAGATATTTCATGAAAATATTTGGAAATATATGTAGGTATTTGTGTTTCTATTTATATATCTTTAATATTTCTATTTATATATGTTCTGAAACGTATCTGTTGTAAAGTTTGTAATTATTAGAGGCCTAATATTTGAGGTCTTTGACCAAAAACGTTATCTCGCTTGAGGACTATTCCTTTTATACGCTCTGCTGTCTGCCCCCTCTTTAGTCTAATACACCTTTAGCATTATTCCACCTGCCCTGCTGTGTTTGTGTTGTAGAGATCAGGTGTGGAGAGCCTGTTCTTAAAGCCCACGCTGCAATGCTTTGGGACGGATCCTCTCAGGTTGGCAGTGTCGTGAGTTACAGATGTGAGGAGGGGTTTCATAGCAGGGGGCTCGGAAACTCCTCCCTGTGTGGAGAGGAGGGGGAGTGGGAGGACCCTGACCTGTGGTGTGAAGGTGCAACGTTTAATCACTGATTTATTCACACATTACTCTCGTTTGTAGCGATTTGCAAAACATATTTAAAGCGATTGTTTGACATTTTAGGAAATATGCTTACATGTTTTCTTGCTGAGTAACCACTGTCATATCAGTCTGTTTTATAGTTATAAATTAGCTTAGCTTAGCATAAAAATAGGAAACATTGTCGGTCAAACAGCAACAAATTCCACCTAAAAAGCTTAAAGGTCCCATGTCATGCTTTTCTGGTTATCACCCGTCCCCTTGTTGTTATGAAGGTTTTTCTGCATGTGAACGGTCTGCAGAGTCAAACCCTCAAAGTACACCCTGTAGCGAGTAGAACTCTAACACAGAGAAGACCTGTCTGTGCTGCCCCAGAACGCCTCGTTGGACATTCAAATGGCCCAATCCGTGGAGCCGTTACGTCCTTCCTCACACACACACTCAATCTTGTCTCAGCTGCAGCTCCGCCGATTTCTCCTCCCTGAGACGGCAGGACGCGGCGAGTGTGTGTGTGTTCGGGCTGGGTTTCGCTGTCTCGCAGTCGGCCACTGGGCTCACAGGGAGGGGGGGCTGGAGCTCCAACAAGCCGTTTAGGACAGAGAGTGAATACACATACTATACAGAGATGCTGTGAGAAACCAATGTGAGTTTGGAACATTGAACAATGTAAATCTATTCTAGTCGACCTCAACAATGGAATTATGATCAGTAGAAACGGCCATGACATGGGCCCTTTAAGATAAACATTATAATGTGATGTTTTAAACCACACAAAAACAAAGTGTAAAGAATAAAGGATGCATTTTGTTCAACCATTACCAATAACCAGACGTTGGAAGTATCTAAGTACATTTACTTTTACTCATATATAATATCTGAGTACTTCTACTTTTACTCAAGAGTAAGATCTGAGTACTTCTCCCACCTCTGCCAACAACCCATAGTAACCTTCTTCTCATGGCTGATACGTATAAGATAACCAACTCATTCCAACCTTATGTTACCCTCAACATGAGGTTCATAACCTGTAGTTTATGCAGACATAGTGAGCCAAGATGGATGATTTCATATTCAATTACTAATATGATCTAAGTTCCTCTTTGTAGGAAAGCATGTTTCTCAAATAGATCAACTGTTGCTTTAAAATATTAGTAAAGAAAATAGTTGTTGTATTATTATTATTATTATTATTATTATTATTATTATTATTTGCATATATGGCATTACATACATTTAGTACTCAATATCTCTATTGACCAGCTTGCATGGATGATCTGCATGTACTTACTGTGTTTTCTTTGTTATTATTGCATGCTTGTGTGTGTGTGTGTGTGTGTGTGTGTGTGTGTGTGTGTGTGTGTGTGTGTGTGTGTATGTGTGTGTGTGTGTGTGTGTGTGTGTGTGTGTGTGTGTTGTGTGTGTGTGTGCAGAAATAAGCTGTGGTCGCCCCCCCCACCCTCCCCCACACTCACCTGCTGTGGGACGGCAGCCAATCGCTGGGCAGCGTTCGGCTGTACGGGTGCAAGGAGGGATTTGACCAGGAGGGGGGGAATAATATGTCCACGTGTTTACTGTCAGGAGAGTGGGGGGAAGTTTCTATGAAGTGCAAAGGTACTGTGGTCATCTTTATTTAATCTATGCAAGTCGTTATTTGTGATTTTTAACATGTTTTTGTTGATTCTTCTCGTAAATAATGTTTGTGTGGTGAAAGGTTTCCCTGTGTTGGCTCTGTGTTGTGTGTTGTGTTGTATTTATATGACTTGTCTCAGGTGTATTGCCAAGTAGGTTTTTCACATATTAGCTTTGGTGTATAAGTTTAAAAACAGCAAGAAGAATTAAAATGTCTAATTTCAAAAGAGCAAATATGGAAATATTATAAAAACTATTTTAGAATCAAAAAATATGCAGGAAATATAAAAATACGACAAAAAAATAACATGAAAAATACATGTTAATTATATCTGAATTAAAGGGGAAGTGCTGTGTATTTTAAATGTCGTGTTTTCTCCTTTTTCTCCTTTCTTAAAAATAGTCACTTTAATACAATACACATGGAGAAAAGCATTCAATCTCTATATTTAAGGGATTGTCTGACTTTTTGCATGAAAACTGACTTAAAGACTTCTGGTATAAGTATTTATGTGGGTCTTTTACACACTTTCTTTATTTTTGTCCTCTTTTAAACACTTTCTTTCTGTCCATGTGTTGCCCTTATGTCGGGTAAAATACTATGTATACTTTGTTTGTGTGGGTATTGTCCTCTCATCATACTTTCTTGTACTTTATGTGCATCTCTTGCCTGTACTAAATGTTAAATTCATGCTATGTCTGGAATAGTAAATAAAGCTGCGTATATTCAGTAATTCCCGATAATACTTGCAGCTGATTGGCTAACGCCTCAGTGTCTTTGTGTCCCTGCAGCTAAGTGTGGCCCGGCTCCCGTCCTGCATCACTCGGAGGTGGTTTGGCACAACCGGAGCGTTGTGGTGCACAGATGTGAGGAGGGATACCACAGCTGGAGAGGAAGCAACGTCTCTGAGTGTGAGTCCTCTGGAGAGTGGAGGAGCGCTACACTCTCATGCATAGGTGAGGAAGACCAAGAAATGGAGTGCTTTATTCCAACAGATTCCACCTAAAAAGCTTAAAATAAACAAATTATAATGTGTTTTTTTAAACCACACAAAAACCAAAGTTTAAAAAATAAAGGATGCATAATCGAGATTCTTTTCAGCCAATGCCACTATAGTATAGCCTGCTTCTCATGGCTGATATTTATAAGATAATGAACTCATTACAACCTTAGTTTACCCTCAAAATGAGGTTCCTAACCTGCAGTTTACGCAGATATAGTGAGCAAAGATGGATTATCTCATTCGTGCATTTATTCCACTGTGAAAGAGTCATTATTATTTGTTTTTGTTGATTCTTCTCGTTTAATAATGAATGTTTGTGTGGTGAAAGGTTCCCCTGTCTCTGCTGTGTTGGCTCTTTGTTGTTTTCTGGTTGTAGTTTTTGAGGTGAATAATAATGTTTTGTAAATTGTATTTTATGACTAGAATCAGACTTAGACTCAGGTGTATTGCCAAGTAGGTTTTTACATTCATAGTTTTTGCTATGTTGTAAATTGTGCATGCATGAACACAGTAAGAGGAATACAAATATAGAAATATTATAATGACTATAATCAAAAATGTGTGCAAAATAAATAAATATACGACAAAAAAAACTCAAAAATAATGTGACATTTTTTAAAAAGAGGAAGTGCTGTGGATTTTTGTATTTAATTTATATTGTTTATTATTAATTGTTCTGTTGATTCTTTCTTGATTTATCGTTTGGTTTCATATCCAAGGTGATGTCTTTACATTTCTTGTTTTTGTATGAAAATTGACGTAAAGACTTCTGGACAAATCATCAATCAATCAATGTTTATTTATATAGCCCAATATCACAAATGTTACATTTGTCTCAGTGGACTTCACAGTCTGTACAGAATATCAGTATGACAATACGACACCCTCTGTCCTTAGACCCTCTGTCCTTAGACCCTCTGTCCTTAGACCCTCTGTCCTTAGCCCCTCACATCGAACAAGGAAACACTTCCAGAGAAAACCCACAGTTTAAAGGGAACATGGGAGAAACCTCAGGGAGAGCAACAGAGGAGGGATCCCTCTCCCAGGACGGACAGACGTGCAATAGATGCCGTGTGTAAATCGAAGAGATAATACATTTACAACATAGGTAGTCCAAATATTTGGAAATGTGTCTGTAGTAAGAAGATGAATCCACGAGGATGTCAACAGTCCTGTGGGAGCCATCAGGGAAGTAGTATGATGAGTCTGGCAGGACCACAGTGACAGGTTCAGCCAGGACTCGAAGTCCAGGACTCAAATCCAGAACTCAGGATAGAGGATCCAGGACACAGGATAGAGGATCCAGGACACAGGATAGAGGATCCAGGACACAGGATAGAGGATCCAGGACACAGGATAGAGGATCCAGGACTCAGGATAGAGGATCCAGAACTCAGGATAGAGGATCCAGGACACAGGATAGAGGATCCAGGACACAGGATAGAGGATCCAGGACTCAGGATAGAGGATCCAGAACTCAGGATAGAGGATCCAGGACACAGGACCACAGCAACAGGATCAGCCTCGACTCAGGATCCCGGCGTAGATAGACACCAAAAAGACATTTGAGGGAAGCTGGGTTAATCGGAACATGAGTACACAGGTACAGACGGAGAGAAGGAAGAAGTAAGGCGTCCCCCCCCGGCAGTCTAAGCCTATAGCAGCTAAACTAACGTGTCTACGTACATGCACTCCCTTAGGTTGAGGGAAAAGGGTAGCAAGTAAGAAGTAGGAAACAGAGGTGGAGAGTCACAGCGTGTTTATGTGGGTCAATCTACTGCATGTGATTTGTATTTGTCCTCTTTTAAACTCTTTTCCTTTTTTGTCCATATGTTGTCCTTATGTCGAAAAAAGTAATGCTATGTCTGGAATAGTAAATAAAGCTGCGTATATTCAGTAATTCCCGATAATACTTGCAGCTGATTGGCTAACGCCTCAGTGTCTTTGTGTCCCTGCAGCTAAGTGTGGCCCGGCTCCCGTCCTGCATCACTCGGAGGTGGTTTGGCACAACCGGAGCGTCGTGGTGCACAGATGTGAGGAGGGATACCACAGCTGGAGAGGAAGCAACGTCTCTGAGTGTGAGTCCTCTGGAGAGTGGAGGAGCGCTACACTCTCATGCATAGGTGAGGAAGACCAAGAAATGTCAAGAGCTATGTTTAAACTTTGGAAGTAACATATTATATGTGATGGGATTATTCAATCAGGATACAAAACAAGGAAACCGTATTCCCTTACAGTTATATTTTTAAAAAGGACGTTGTTAGATCCATTTTTTAAGTAACCCTCCCCTCACTGCCTCATATATTTGATTGAGTCTTGTACTTACATTATCCACATTTTGTTCAGCTAATGTTTCGTCTGGTCTCCTGTAATGCCCTTTTGAGCATTCGTTAGCTGGCAGAAAATGTCATAAATTGGCTTTTATATCCAGTTTCAAGCTTCATTTTTACCACACACTTTTTACATGTTGGTGCTTTTTAACTTCACATTTTCACCAGATGAAGGATTGTGCTCATGGCACGTCTGGATCTTAAGTTATCGGAGAAACAGTCTGAGCTAACGTTAGCCGCAGCCAGACCGCATCAGAAAATCACTGATTTTTAACATGAAATATCCCAAACAATAAACAAATGAGTAGAAGCTGTTTTACCTCCTTTTATTACTCCATGCTTCATTTGCAGAATATGACATATTGTCAGGGTGCGTGGAAAAGGTAGGACCCAAATGCAGAATTTGAACAAAAAGCGAGCTTTATTAAATAATAAAAGCTGTGTCAAAAGGCAGTATCCAAAATATCCAAAAACAAATGAGCAGCACAAGGAACACGGACCGTGGAATAACATGGAGGGAAAACAATGGACCGACATGGAACACAGGGGAAGACTAGACTAAATACACAGAAGGGTAATCACAGGACAAGACACAGCTGGGCAGGGGAGGGAGAAAGACAAGGGCAACAGGTGAACACAATGAGACAATCAGACACACCAGGGAAACTAACGACAGGGAGGAGGACCAGACCAAACACCGAATGAACAGACTTACAAAACCCATAACCAGACAGACAACACTAAAACCGTGACATAAACCTAGGAGTGTGACACATATTGAGTCTTTAACAGCGACTAGCAACATATAAAACATATAAGGAACATGGAAGGTGCAATGTTCACTAGCCTTAACAAAATACAAGTATCTGTGTGTTTCTTTTGTGAGGTTATTGATTTGCCTAGTAAACATATTTGTAAAGAGATGTATAATATAACAATAATAAGATGACGTTTATCTCTTACAGAATTAAAGCCACCTGTAAATCATCTTCGTGTCCTCAATGAGAAATGTGTGCAGTGGAGAGCAGAGAAGTACGAGGAGGACACAGAAACATACAAGGTATCAGGAGATTTACCCTGGAGTTTATTTCAGATACGTGGCATAACTGAAGACTGCTTCTCCTTGTTTAGTTTTGAATATACTTGCAGCTTGATCATTTATTTTCAAACCTGATGAAGCTTTTTTACTTGGAAAAGTATGCAAGTATCTGAAATGTATAATACTATTAACGTACTGAAACATTTTACACTGATTTCATGTTTGGAAGTGTAAACTCTTAGCTCAAGATGTCCTTTTTGTATTAGCTTCTGCGCATATAGTTTGTTTACCTAAACATTTTTGGAGGTTTTTCTGACTGACTGCGTTTCAGGTGACGTACACGGGATCCAGAGACTACCAGAGGTCCTTTCAAGATAAGAGGAAGCGTTTTCTGAGCTCTAACGCCGACGAGCTGCAGCTCTGTTTAAATCTACTTCCTGTCACAAACTACAGCATCTCCATCACTGCAGCCTCCTCCAGGTTCACCGCCTCCATCACCACCAACACCAGCCTAACAGGTGCCATAGTTAAAAAATCCACATTTACATGTTGCTGAATAAATGTTCCCTTGCATGCGTGTGCAGTTTAGGTTAAAGCAATAAGTTAAGCCCAGAATGAAGGCTCAGCTGCGTGGATATGTTCAGGACTGATGTAACTATATTTAATCTGATGTTTTCTTCTTTATAATGTTAATGTTTCCCAGTGCCTCCAGCACTAGCTGTGGACTACAGAGAGTTTGAGACTCCTGTACCGACTCTGAGGCTCCGCAGATCTCCAAACACACTCGACCCAATCAGGTAACAACCAGTACACACATCCTTTACTTCAGTAAAAGTACCAATACGTTACTGTAAAAATACTACATTATACAGAGAGCAGAGGTGCTACATTCAAAATATCACTAAAAGTATTATCTTTACGATATACCTAAAGCAGGGGTGTCAAACTCAATTTCATCACGGCCACATCATAAATGGTTGCACTCAAAGAGCCGGTTGTAACTTTAAGACTATAAAAATACATATATAAATATTTAATATATATTAAATAATGTATTATATGACATGATTGCCTCTGCATTGGATTATTATGGGATAGGGTAATAACTTCATAATTAACTACGTCTGAAAGCAGAAGTCTGGGGCAAATAATTGCAAGTCTCTTCAGTGAGAATGTCACAAAATGATTTAAAAAGAAAAGCCAAATTCCGGGAAAAACTATAAAAAAAAGTAACATTTTGAAAAAAAAATCTAATTCTGAGAAAAAAGCATATTTTGAAGAAAAAAAGTCAAATTCTGAGAGAAAAAGTCAAATTTGAGATGCATTGTGGGACATGTAGTTTATGGGCAATACCCCATAAGAGCTTGCTATATGCAAGCTCTTATGGGGCCACATGAAATGAAGTCGCGGGCCGGATTTGGCCCCCGGGCCTTGAGTTTGACACCCCTGACCTAAAGTAAAGTAGAACACTCGGTTCAGCCCTACTTTATTTATAGAGTAGTGCAGGAATGAGTCCTAGAACTTTTTAGCACTTCCTGTGTTCTGGTCTGGGAGTCGATGGTTCTTTAATGTGTTGTTGGTTGTTAGCCTGAAATAAGGTCTGTGGATTGATTACTGCAATGCACTTCTGACTGGCCTTCCCATCAAACGCATTAATAGACTGCAAATAATCCAGAACTCTGCTGCTGGATCATCACCCGCACCAACTCATCCGACCACATCCCCCCATTCCCACTCAGCTACACTGGCTTCCTGTACGCTACCGTATTGAATACAAACCTTCTACTCGCATATAAAGCTCTCCCCCCATCTACATCACCGACCTCCTTCAGGAGTACACCCCCTCCCGCACCCTCCGCTCTTCCTCCGTAGGACTTCTCACCATCCCAAGCTCTCGCCTCAAAACCATGGGTGCTCGAGCTTTCAGCTGCTCGGCTCCCAGACTCTGGAACTCCCTGCCACGACACATCCGACAGTCTGATTCCATAACATCATTCAAAACCCAACTCAAAACTCACCTGTTCAAACTTGCATTCTCTTTATAACCTGTACCCTGTGTCTTTTTGTAGTCCATTTGTAGTCCATTTCCTGTTGTTTGTCTTGTTTTCCCCCGGCTGACATCTCATTAAATCCACTGTTTTAATTTCCCCATATGCCCTGTAAGGTGTCCTTGGGTGCTATGAAAGGCGCCCCCCAAATAAAATGTATAATTATTATTAACACAAGCTGACGAAAAATCATATTGGCTTTCTGTCAAAGGAGCCCTTGCAATGCCACCATCCTGGTCAGCCTACAAAAATACATCACCACTGTATTACTCTATTTCTACTAATGATTTCTTCTTCTTTATTTGCAGTGTGTTTCAGGTGTTTGTGCTTCCTGTGGACGGGAACATAATGTTTGACTGTTCCTCTCCTGCGAGCTCAGACCCCAAATCAAAATCCTCTGCAGAGTACATCACGGGACAGTTTGATGTCCAACATGTCAGGACGGAGATGAACTTCACTGTCGGGGACGGACTCCTCTACGGAGGCTTCTTTAACGCACCGCTGCAGAACGGCAGGAGTTATTACATCATATTAAGAGCTGTCAGTCAGTGGAAATCAGTGGGTGTGACTAACATAGTAACAAAATGCATTGATTTGGAAACTGTATTACATTTTGCAGCTTACTTGTTAAATGTTTTCTCTCCTAGGCTTTTAAAAGTTCCTGTGTCGTGTGGGCTAAAGTGACAGGTAATTCCCTCAGCTCAAACACCTTCTTAAATACTAAGTTAATGAACTTTTCAAGGATTCTCCAGGGCTAATTCTTCCAATTCAAGGAGCAACTGCACATAGTTTGAGAAACAGATCTCATTTAAGAATTCAAACATGCATGAGACTTTGAAGCATGTGGTGAATCAAACAATTATGACTGCAGCAGAAACACGCAGGCAGGCAGCGCGATGTATAGAGAGGCGAAGTCTCGCCCTTCTACTTCCAAAAATTATGTATTGAAGTCAATGGGGAGAGAAAACGTATCTTTCGATCCCGTTTGAATTGTGCCATGAATTACAATTACAAATAATTTCCATGTCAAAAAAGTCACAGTTTGTCGTAAAACTGTTGAAATATAAGACTATGAAAAATACGCAACTAGAAAGACTACAAATCCCAGAATCCCGGTCCCGCATGCTGGCTCTCACGGAACCGACTAACTCCCCTTGTGTGTATGCACAGCTCTCAACGTGCCCAGGCTTGTAGTGATTTCCACCTCGTTTAATAATAGTTCATTGAGCGGTTTCACACAAAAAGTGTTACTTCAAAGTTTTACGACACATTTAAAAAAAATTGACTTGCAAAATTATCTTTTAAATTGACAAACATCATATGTGTAATTCGTGGCACAATTCAAACGGGATCGAAAGATAATCTTTCTCTCGCCATTAACTTCAATACAGACTTTTTCTGAAATGAGGTCCCATGGAGGTCCCCCGGAAAGGGAGGGACTTCGCCTCTCTATTTACTAATTATAAAAAAATACATTCACATTTATGCTTTTTTATTGCATGACTAGGTTTTGTATAGGGGTTTTTTCAAGCTGAGAAAGCGACAGACAGCAGAATGTATTTACGTGTTTAGAAAAATATCAAAAGAACTACATGTGTTAGTCTTGCACAAAATACTAAATGAAAGTACTTTCAATGTAGGTAGGCCAAACAGATTTCCCTCTCAAATTCACAAACTTTCAAGGATATTAAAGGATGTATTTTCCCTCGTTGCAGGTACCTCGTATGTCCTGAGGGTTTCCTCTCTGTCGGCTGTTGCAGCTGTAGGACTGGTCGCCTTTGTTATTATCGGTGGATACAGTTTCTGCTGGTATGGAAGATAATACTATGAGATGGAATGATATAGGATTTTAATGCAAATAGCAAGAAAAAAACTCTTATTTGATTCTGATTTTTCTTTTTTCCAGGTTTTTCAAGAGGACATGACACTCGCTGATGTCCTGTCATTTTTCATTTTAATATTTATGTACATTTCGCAAATAATTGTAATAAAGTTTTTTTCACCTCATAAATGCTTGAATGTTTATAGGATGTGAATCTTGAAATTAGAAGAAACCAATTTCTAAAACAGACATTTGTGTTTGAATGTTTATTCTTTGCATTTAAAAACAATTATTCATGCCTTAATAATTAATTAATTAATGTTATGAATTGATTTGTTTTGTGACGCGTACAAATCTGCATTAACACCAACTTTTTTTGTAAGAAAGGATATTAGGAAAGGTATTAGACTTTTCAGTTTACTTTTGAAATCACCTCAATTATTTTCTTATTTGTGTATCGACCCTTAATTGCTAAAATCTTTGAAAATGTCAGTGTTGAGCACTGAACAATTAAAAGAAGGGTTTTGTCCCAAATATTTTAATTAGTAGAATTAAAAGAGATAATTTAAATGTTTTCTCATTCTAATTCTTTTGAGATACCTCTGGGAATAAACCCTATTTTTTGGTACACCAAACCATAGTCCACTGTTATGTATACATATCAGTTAATTAATATGTAAACACACTGTATACTATACAGTGATTTAAACGACTGGATTTCCAGCTTTCTCTTAATGACAGACTTCATCACAAGATACTTTTAGAGAATATTAGAGGGATATTGGGAAATAAACTAGAAAATATCTCTATTATAAAGAGTAAATTGTAGGTCTAATAATCCTAATATGATTAAGTTGATTTATATGTAGATTTAAATTAAAAGTGGGCCTAATTTGGCTTATTTAAATCTACTAATTACACCTTTACCTTTGCTCTGTACTGGGCCTTTAAGTGGGTTTTACATCCGGAGCAACATCTTCATATCCCGGATACAAGAGAGCCAGAGTGCTGCCGAAGACAACCCACCTTTAACGCTTTGGTTTATAACGGATAAACAGGTACATAACACTTATTACTGTGTCAGTTAAGTGAAAACATTATTAAATAAGTAGTTATTTAGTCGCAGTGCATGCCTCAGATTCCTGCAGGCCGGATGAAAACATGAAGGCGATTTGTGGTGCAATGTTTACATTAAGCTTTAGGCATGGAGAGTCACTTTAAAGAAGATTATTTTGTGTATTTCTGTTACACAAAGACTCATACACGGATTGCATATGTCCCCTAAAAGAAAGCCAGTCATTAAACGTTATTTTAGCAATGGTGGTGTTGCAGTCCACTCCAAACTCCCTTTAGATTTCATATTGGTTTCCTATTAATGTCTTTTTTGACAAAAGACCCAAGAAATACTATAAGAAGTATAATTTTGTAAACGTGTTTTATCAATATTTGTATTTCGGTTTTTATATATAAACACTATTTAACTGTAATTCCTTTTTATCGCCTATTTTACACTCGCATGAATAGAGGAAGTCACCTGAGCTAACAGTTAGCTAAAGGCTAACAACGTTAGCATACGATTAGCATTGTTTTAGTTTTCCACCGAAAAACACCGAAATAAAGAGTGGACATTTCTCCCGAAGATATATTAAGACAGAGTGGTATTTCTTTAACTGTTGAATAACTAACGTTAGCTAGCTTATGAAACATAAACGCTTGCTGTTGTTAAAATTCACACGTTTTTTGAACTAAGTCTGGTTCTCATTCACGTTTTCCATGAGGGGTCAGGTGGGATGAGATGCTGACCAAATAAGATGTAGTTTTTTAATCTCAAATTGGGAAATGTTTTCCTCACAGCAGCATGTAAAACAAAGTATTACACATAATTAGAGTAGACAATAAACAATTATACAATATAAACATCTCACAATAGAAGAAAAAAATGTAACTAAAAGTCAAAATATAAAAGTTGACCGTGAAGATAACAATCTGTAAATTAACTGACAAATAAAACACAATTTAAGGGCTTAATGACAGCTAACACAATATAAAAGTAGGATATTAATTACATTTATTGTGCAAGGATGGCATTTTAAATTAAATATAAAATGTAAAATGTACAGTGTGAAGTTACAGTATATCTTTAATAACTGTATGTGCTTTATTTGTGCATGTTTAAATAAAAACCTTTTTTAAGTAAAATGATCAAATATACAATATTTCTGAATTTGTCCTTTACAGGTGCATCGTGTGTTGCTTCTGGCTCTCGGTTCACGATGTCTCAGAACCAGGTGATCCTGCAGTTCCGCTTCGCCACATTCGGCGACTCGATGCTGCAGAAGATGAACCTCCTGAGACACCAGAGGCGATTCTGTGATGTCACGGTTCGCATCAACCAGCTGGAGGTCCCCGGTCACAAAGTGGTGTTCGCCGCCGGATCCTCTTTCCTGAGGGACCAGTTCATCCTGCAGCAGGACTCCAGGGAGGTGCAGATCTCCATGATCCAGGAGGCGGAGGTGGGCCGGCAGCTGCTGCTCTCCTGCTACACGGGACAGCTGGAGTTTCCCGAGCTGGAGCTGGTGCATTATCTGACCGTCGCCAGCTTCCTGCAGATGGGCCACATTGTGGAGCAGTGCACTGAGGCTCTCAGTAAGTTTATCAAACCTGCACGCAAGCTAGAAGTGGAGGTGAGAAGAGAGAAGGAAGAGGGGTTGTCCAAGAGAGAGCAGGAGGTTCGGACTGTCCACCAGAATAAGCAGGACGACGAGGAAGATGATCGTGATAGTGATGATGATGATGTGATTATACAGCCTAATTCCCCTCCTCAGATCCTAAGCAGGTGTCCAAAGCAGCAGGCTGACGTTGATATCGCAATCGTTAAAGTGGAATCGGTGTCTGACGAAGTAGAAAACTCCTCCGTCGCTCACTTCCCCAGGAGCCCACCTCCCGCCCTGCACTCCCCCGAGCCCCAGCACTCGCTCATCAACTCCACCGTGGACAGTCGTTGTAGCGAAACTGCGGCGCCCCCCGGGGTGTCGGGATACCCCCTCAGTCCTCTGAGCCCCCCGCCTCCATCACCTCCTGCTGAGAAGCACAGCGTCCACCAGAGGAACTACGACAAACCCCTACAGTGGTATGTTGGGTTTTCTACGATCTGAGTTTAGCATTAGCTGAAAAGAGTCCATGAAGCTTATTTACAAGTTAACAGCGTTTAATAAAACAATGGTACAATGCATTTTCAAAAGGTTAGCCCGGCCGAGCTTGCTCCAATCCATGTCGCAGGGGATGAGAAAGAGATCGACTTCCTGTTTGTGTCACATATTTATCATCTGTTGTCTTCTCCCATTGGCTTAGCGTCGACGGGGGCGGGTCCAAGGCACGTCCTGTCGTTTTCTGATGTTAGTTTTACATTCTTCTAATATCCGTTATCATTTAAACATTTAAGCATTCCCTAATAATAGTATTGCAGCGTCAATAAGTGAGAGTTAGACAGTGTGTTTAGTCTGCAACACCACGTGTCATTCTCCTTATATTCACGTACACAAAATAATATTAGCTACATGCTAATGCTAACACCGTCTGCCAGACAGGAAGTTGAATGTGTCGACAATGTCGTGAACATCCGGTTACAGAATAAAACAGTGTTATTCATTTAAAGTTACGGCACATATATATTGATTTTATTCCTTACAGGTACCACCAGTGCCCCAAATGCTCCAGGGTTTTCCGGCAGCTGGAGAACTACGCCAACCACCTGAAGATGCACAAGCTGTTCATGTGCCTGCTATGCGGGAAGACCTTCACGCAGAAAGGGAACTTGCACCGACACATGAGGGTTCACGCCGGCATCAAGCCCTTCCAGTGTAAGATCTGCGGGAAGACCTTCACGCAGAAGTGTTCGCTGCTGGATCATCTGAACCTGCACAGCGGGGACAAGCCGCACCGATGCAACTACTGCGACATGGTGTTCGCTCACAAGCCTGTTCTCCGTAAACACCTGAAACAGATCCACGGGAAGAACAGCTTCGACAACGCCAACGAACGCAACCTGCAGGACGGGGGGATTGACTTTGATTTTGGGCAAATATGACATTTTTGTTGAATGCCTTCAGTCATTTACACGTAGACTTTCCCACTGGTGGAATATTATCAATCTAAATAACAGTCCTGAGAAACTCACAGCTGGATGATACAAACGAGAAGATAAGATGCTCCTCAGATGTTTCCATTTCCTGAGTTGGGAAGACTTTATTCAAACTTCCATGTGAAGAGATGTCCATGTGCATCGTTGCTTTCAAGCAGATGAGCTGTATGTTATTGCTCTGCGCTTTAAGACTTTAAGAACATATTCATCTGTTGCCGGTTCTCCGTAAACACTTCAAACAGATCCACAGGAAGAACAGCTTCGACAAAGCGAACGAACGCAACCTTGACTTTCATTTTGGGCAAATATGAAATATGGGCAAACAACTCTGGATTCAGCTTTTAATGCTTTTTACAACTTGCAGACCCTAATGATTTTAAATAAGGGCTATAAAAGTGATCGTGCTGTGTAATTTATTTAGCTACAAAGAAATGATTTACAGATGTCTATAAGTCAATGGTAAAAAGTATTTGTCACGGAAGCTGTAGTACAACCGTTTGGCCACTACCACCATTCATAAAAATGTGTCAACTTTTTTTGGCAGTTTTGTTTAAGGCAGGGGGGTCAAACTCAATTTCATGGTGGGCCACATTCGCATTAAAGGTTGCACTCAACAGGCCGGTTGTAACTATATAAATATATAATATATAAAAGAATGTATTATATTACATTATTGCCTCTGAATTGGATTATTATCGGATAGGAACATAGTAATAGTCTGAAAGCAGAAGTCCAGGGCAAATAATTGCAAGTCTCTGCGCATGTCACAAAACGAGATGCATTGTGGGACATGTAGTTTATGGGCAACCTGCTTCTGTAAATCGGCATGTAACCGTATAATAAACTTATTATATTCTTTGCAAGGTCTTGCGGGGCCACAGAAAATGAAGTTGCGGGCCGGATTTGGCCCCCGGGCCTTGAGTTTGAGACCCCTGGTTTAAGGCTTTCAGTCATTGAAACGCAGACGTTCCCACAGTTGGAATATTATCGCTTATTGAGCAGTCCTGAGAAATACACAGCTGGAGGCTCCGTACAGTCTGTTACTTTTGTGTGAGAAACCAAGATTAACATTTAAATTTAGAACGGTCCTCAACCAAGTCCAATGGTGCATTCAACTGCTCCTGGGTCGTTTCCATTTCCTGAGTTGAGAAGCCATCTTTATTCCCACTTCCATGTGAAGAGATGTTAATGTGCTTACCAACATGGATGCGTTGTATGTTATTACTCAGTGCGCTTAAATAATACATTGATATCTGTTTCCAAGAGCGGACATTTTTCAAGACAGGAATTCATTTTTCTGATTATTCCAACATCACATGAATGCAACGCAAATCTCTGGCTTTAAAGAGGCATGATTCGCATAATAGGGCCCCTTTAACAAAATAATGTCATGATTTGGAACTTCTCCAAAATGAAATGGGTTCTTCCTTGGCTTATGTTACACCCATCTACCAAGTTTCATGATAATCAGGCTTTTCGTTTTTCTGGGGAAAGATGGCGGCTGTTTTTGCAAAGTGTCACCCTCCTCTTGGTTCAACTTGAGAATGTAAGCATGAAAAAGTGTTCCTGGTCTACATTTCACTGTATCTTCCTCTTCGTGGACTGTTTTATAATACATTGTAGATGCCTTCATATCGTACTTGAAAGATTAGCACTGAAACACAACATATTGACTGTACTTCACGAGTTTTATTGATGAATTAACACGTCTTTGTGTCGTCCAATGAAAAATATATCCATGTGTATACAGTCTACTGTAGCCTTTCTCTCTTAGCTGTGTAAATACATTTAACTAAAATAAACTTGAAAGGGCGGGTAGAAAAACACATTTTATTGAAGGCAAGCTACGCCGGTGACAAACGGGATGCCAAAGTGTCTATGTGAACTGAATCGGTTCTTTTATACAGTCTTTATATATCAACAGTATGAGGTACGATTAGACCAAAGTGACATTGTATCTGTCCTGTGATCATGGGAGTCAATGTGTGTTATAAAATAAAAACAGATTCTTAATTAATGCTTGTTGTTGTGGCACACTATTCTCCACCATTCATGCACACATACTGGTATTTATGGGAATGTCGAGCAAGATGTAAATACTGCCATCATAAGGGGAGCTTTTTTGTAAAAGAAAGGGTTGGAAAGCACAAATGTTTTCCCCTCTTCAGTGTGTAGCTCTTTAACTCCAGCCTTTTATCAGTAGAGTTTGCAGCGAGTATCTGAGAGCAGCATGTAAATGTGTGGTGAGCTTTAACAAAGCTTCATTGTGCAGGGCTCCAAGGTTACATTTGCAAACCGTTGTGAAGAATTGGCAACTAGTTGTAGTCCTTTTCGACATGAAAGTAGCGCCATCAAAACATGCACCAATAAATAACTTTATTTTTAACATTAGTGATATTTAAATATGTATGTTACAGTCAGTGCTGCTAAATGAAAGTTTCACTAACCCGTCAATATATGTACACATTGATTCAACTGTCAACAATCATATTTGTGAAGTTTCTGAAAGATTTTATTTTCACAGTTGTAGTGGGTACCATGAAAAGTAAAACAAATACTTTGTTTACTTTAGGAACATGCTGACATCACTATGTTACACTCTCGCTTCTATTGGCTAGCGCTCTAACACATTGTACGTGATAGGCTAAGGGGTGGGACATTTCTATGCGGTTGACCAATCATAACAGCCGGCCAGCTAACCAATCAGAGCAGTCTGGGCTCTGGTTTCAGACAGAGGGTGAAAAGAGGTGCTGCAGCTTTTTGAACATTAAAGCATATTGACATGTCACAGTAGAGACACTACATACTGATATACACCTGAACATCAGCAGGAGAGGACTCTTTAAAGTAGAGACACTACATACTGATATACACCTGAACATCAGCAGGAGAGGACTCTTTAAAGTAGAGACACTACATACTGATATACACCTGAACATCAGCAGGAGAGGACTCTTTAAAGTAGAGACACTACATACTGATATACACCTGAACATCAGCAGGAGAGGACTCTTTAAAGTAGAGACACTACATACTGATATACAGTACACCTGAACATCAGCAGGAGAGGACTCTTTAAAGTAGAGACACTACATACTGATATACACCTGGACATCAGCAGGAGAGGACTCTATAAAGTAGACACACTACATACTGATATACACCTGAACATCAGCAGGAGAGGACTCTTTAAAGTAGAGACACTACATACTGATATACACCTGACATCAGCAGGAGAGGACTCTTTAAAGTAGAGCCACTACATACTGATATACACCTGAACATCAGCAGGAGAGGACTCTTTAAAGTAGACACACTACATACTGATATACACCTGAACATCAGCAGGAGAGGACTCTTTAAAGTAGAGACACTACATACTGATATACACCTGAACATCAGCAGGAGAGGACTCTTTAAAGTAGAGCCACTACATACTGATATACACCTGAACATCAGCAGGAGAGGACTCTTTAAAGTAGACACACTACATACTGATATACACCTGAACATCAGCAGGAGAGGACTCTTTAAAGTAGAGACACTACATACTGATATACACCTGAACATCAGCAGGAGAGGACTCTTTAAAGTAGAGACACTACATACTGATATACACCTGAACATCAGCAGGAGAGGACTCTTTAAAGTGGAGACACTACATACTGATATACACCTGAACATCAGCAGGAGAGGACTCTTTAAAGTAGAGACACTACATACTGATATACACCTGAACATCAGCAGGAGAGGACTCTTTAAAGTAGAGACATTACATACTGATATACACCTGAACATCAGCAGGAGAGGACTCTTTAAAGTAGAGACACTACATACTGATATACACCTGAACATCAGCAGGAGAGGACTCTTTAAAGTAGAGACACTACATACTGATATACACCTGAACATCAGCAGGAGAGGACTCTTAAAGTAGAGACACTACATACTGATATACACCTGAACATCAGCAGGAGAGGACTCTTTAAAGTAGAGACACTACATACTGATATACACCTGAACATCAGCAGGAGAGGACTCTTAAGTAGAGACACTACATACTGATATACACCTGAACATCAGCAGGAAAGGACTCTTTAAAGTAGAGACACTACATACTGATATACACCTGAACATCAGCAGGAGAGGACTCTTTAAAGTAGAGACACTACATACTGATATACACCTGAAACATCAGCAGGGAGAGGACTCTTTAAAGTAGAGACACTATATACTGATATACACCTGAACATCAGCAGGAGCGGACTCTTTAAAGTAGAGAAAACTACATACTGATATACACCTGATCATCAGCAGGAGAGGACTCTTTAAAGTAGAGACACTACATACTGATATACACCTGATCATCAGCAGGAGAGGACTCTTTAAAGTAGAGACACTACATACTGATATACACCTGATCATCAGCAGGAGAGGACTCTTTAAAGTAGAGACACTACATACTGATATACAACCTGAACATCAGCAGGAGAGGACTCTTTAAAGTAGAGACACTACATACTGATATACACCCGAACATCAGCAGGAGAGGACTCTTTAAAGTAGAGACACTACATACTGATATACACCTGAACATCAGCAGGAGAGGACTCTTTAAAGTAGAGACACTACATACTGATATACACCTGAACATGAGCAGGAGAGGACTCTTTAAAGTAGAGACACTACTGTACATACTAATATACACCTGAACATCAGCAGGAGAGGACTCTTTAAAGTAGAGACACTACATACTGATATACACCTGAACATCAGCAGGAGAGGACTCTTAAAGTAGAGACACTACATACTGATATACACCTGAACATCAGCAGGAGAGGACTCTTAAAGTAGAGACACTACTGTACATACTGATATACACCTGAACATCAGCAGGAGAGGACTCTTTAAAGTAGAGACACTACATACTGATATACACCTGAACATCAGCAGGAGAGGACTCTTTAAAGTAGAGACACTACATACTGATTCACCTGAACATCGCAGGAGAGACTCTTTAAAGTAGAGACACTACATACTGATATACACCTGAACATCAGCAGGAGAGGACTCTTTAAAGTAGAGACACTACATACTTATATACACCTGAACATGAGCAGAGGGACTCTTTAAAGTAGAACACTACATACTGATATACACCTGACATCAGCAGGAGAGGACTCTTTAAAGTAGAGACACTACATACTGATATACACCTGAACATCAGCAGGAGAGGACTCTTTAAAGTAGAGACACTACATACTGATATACACCTGAACATCGCAGGAGAGGACTCTTTAAAGTAGAGACACTACATACTGATATACACCTGAACACAGCAGGAGAGGACTCTTTAAAGTAGAGACTACATAATACTGATATACACTGAACATCAGC